GGGGGGAACTACCCACTCGGGCCCCCTCCTCCTGTCCCTCTCTCAGACAGGAGCTTTCTTTCCCTCAATAAATATATTCTGCTCATAACCTCCATTTGTTCCTAAAATTCATTCCTTGGTTTTAGAGAACACGAACTTGTGCAGGTCAGGTCCAGAGATCGTTTTTCCCTATGTCCTTTGGATGTTCCCTATATTGCTTGGAGGTCACCCACCTGAGACCAGTTTTTCTCCCTGTATCAATCCCATTGGTTGACCACAGATTTGTCCCACCTCTTGTCCCTCTAAGTGAGTCCCCATTTTCTCTACCTCAGCCCCATGTGATTTTGCCCTATAAAAATAACCTGGAACAGATACCTTCCTGGGCAACCCGCTCAGGCCCCCCTTCTGTCCTCTCTGAGACAGAAGTTTTCTTTCCCAATAAATATTCTACTCTCAACCTCTGTTTGTTCCTAAAATTCATTCTTTGGTTTTAGAGAACACAAACTCTGTTCAGGTCGGGAGATCATTTCTCCCTATATCACTGTCACAAGCGCACAGGTCTCCACAGTGAGAAGAGCTGGCATCGAGGAGCCTCTTTGCTGTCGGACCTGACACAGATCCCAAGACACTTCAGCGAGATGCCACACCTGGACGAGCTTTTATGTCACAGGGGGAGGGAAATGCTGTGTACTCTGAAGACTCGCGAGCTGTGGGTAGCAGGGAGAAGGTGGTGCTTGGTCTGCCAAGAGTGACTGACTGCTGCCATCCCCAGCCATGCACAGGAGCTGCCATCAGGAGGTGGGGTTATTCTTCTCTACGTGAACCTGCGCCAGCTCTGCCCTGTTTTAACCAATAGGATGTCATGAAAGAGAAGACAGGCGACTTCTGGGCATAGCTTGAAGAAGATTTAGAGCTTCCGGTTTTGTGCTCTTGGAAGCCAGCTGCCATGTGAATACGCTTGGGCTTGGGCTGGATTATTGCACTGTGAGAGGCCATGCGGAGAGACAGAGGCTGAACTTCTCCCTGCTCTTCCAGCTGTGCCAAAGCACTGGACGCACACATGAAGTCATCCTGGATGTTGGTGTTCCAACCAAGCTCTCAGGTGAACACAACCTCATGGTGTCACCCTACCCTACAAAGAACTGCCCAGCTGAAGGCAGGCAAGCATAGACTCATGGAAAACAAAGGAGTCCTGTTTCATGCTGCTAGTTTTGAGGATGATTTGCAGGCACCTAGCACAGACTGACAAAGCCAAGACACATCTGGGCCTGGAGAAAGTGACACTTGGCAGAAGTACTTTGGGAAGAGGTGTATTATTTTTTAAAGTTAAACACATGCCTATAGTTGCCCAAACAGAAAAAAAAGCAAACATATAGACTGAAATGTATCAAGAAGAATAGTCACAGCTGTACTGAACAGTTTCAAAATGGAAACAATACAGACATCCATGAAGAGTTCAATGAGCTGGCGTGATGAGGCATAAGTATAATCTCAGCTACTTGGGAGGTTGAGACAGGATGATCTCTCTTCCTGGGTTCAGGAAGAAAAGGAGGTGGAAGAAGAGAAGGAGAAAGTCAGAATGAGAGGAGGATATGGTGGAGGAGGAGTAAGTGCAGGTGGAGAGAGGAGGAAGAAAGATAAAGCAAGTGGCCCCTTTCTCACATTAGATAGACATATAGATATCTATAATCAGTTCATGAATGCCCAGAAGATAAAATTAATAGATGATGTCAGAGGGAAGATGTTGACTCAAAGTTCAGGAGACTTTTGATTAAAACTCAAGGTAAGTCACTGCTTCTCAATACTCTAACAAGAACTTAAGATGTTCCTGGCAACTTTCTGATGCTATGAATTCTGAGAAGAGGACAATGTGGTCTGGCATAGCTGGAGAAGCAACTGGGCCAGAATTCCAGAATCAGACATTCATGTGCAGGGCCTCACCTACACGTCAGTGAGACAGAAATGTTTATTTAAAGTGAACAAATTGCAGAGCTGTATAGTACATTGAGGATCAATCTTGGAAGTGTTACTGAGGGGCAGCATGACAGAATGAGTACCAGATTGGAATATTTGCTCTGGCTTCCCAGAACCAAAGCTTTACAAGGAATTCCGTGTCTGCCTCAGCGTCCTTGTGTGTAAAAGATGTCTTGGCAAACTACATCGCAATAATGTGTTGTCCAGATAAAAGCCTCACGGCAATGCCAGGAATGACAAGGCCTCTTGTGAAACAGCGTTAAAGCAAAGCAAATCCTTTGTTGCATAAGATACCCAGTTATTGTTAAGTGAAATCCCTCCAGGAGCCAACAGAAGGGATGTTTACTTAGCAAGTTCTCAAAATTGTTATTATCTGTGCTAAGGGATTGCTGACTTATGTAATGAGCTGAACACGCTGGAAAGAACAGTTGCTTACTCTGCTGGTAAGCATAAGCCTGCGAGCCTCACACACAGTGTGTGTGTGTGTGGGGGGGGGGTCATTTATATACACATAAGCCCGCCCAGGATTGCTTTAATTATCTAAAATGTCAATTTTGCTGACTATCCAACCCAGGGAGGAACTGTAGGTTCACAATCACCATGACTGCTTATTCCAGCAGTCTATATTACACCAAAGAATAGCACCTTAAGATATTAGTTAGGTGTCCCTCCCCCCTAAAAAATACAATGTGATTAAATTGTATTTAATCACAATAAGGAAATGATTGAATAAAATTAAACTCCCTCCCAGGATGTTTGGAAGCAGAGGAGGAAATATGCAGCATTTTCCTTTGCCCCTTGCTGCATGGAGCCTATTATGATGGATAATGATTACTTAGTGTGATCATCTTATTTTTATCTGATACTGTATAACATTGTCCCCCCAATCTGAGGTCAGCTCAGAGGTCCCGGGGAATCACCACACCTGGGCTTTGAGCACTACACAGCCCCGGCTGCTCCTGCGGAGCCAGCACACCCTGATCAAGTGGATGCAGATAGCCCAGCGCTGCAGCTTCACCCCTCATCATCCAGGCTACCACCGACCCGCTGACCGCACCACCCGGGCCCAGGCTGCCCCCAAAATTGACCCCTTCTACAGGGTCCACAACGCGGGCAGCGCCTGGTGTGCAAGGAGCTAGCCCAGAACAAAGGTGAGCTCGGGGTGGCTGCGGACCGAGCTGGGCGCAGCCGGCCTGGGCACCTTAATGCCTACCTGAAGCTCCACGAGGACCAGAGGGGTCGGGCGGCAGAAAGCCAAAGCCTTTCGGACTCTACTGCAGCAACATCTGGTTCTCCAATGCCTTTCTTGACCTTTTCCTGAACCAGAAAGCCCGGCCCACCTGCCTGTGTTGAAACTTGTGTGCCACGCTGCGCCCCTGCTAGAAAGGCCCAAGCCAAGGCAGAAGACAGGGGCAAGGGCTGAAGGGCACCCACTCCGGCCCCCACTCTCCACCTCCTTGGCCTCACATTTCTGCAAGTGTAAATACACAGACACAGGTTGCTAAGTAGGCATGAGGGAGGAAACTAGAGCCTGGAAAGCCAGGTGGATAATCTGGCTTGACCTGTCAATCATGGAGACCTGCCCATCACTGCCAGGACGCATGCCCAGAACCAGGTCAGAGTCCTGCAGGGGCGCCCAGGAAATGACGTCAAAAAGATAAATACGGAGACTGTTAGCCTCATGGCCACTGTCTTTTTACTATGTACGCAGAGATATTTTCTCTCATTTCTCCAGAGTTCACTTCATCTTTAGAGTTTTATTTTAATTTTATTTTGCCTTAAAATAAAACTTTAAACTTGCACACTTTCACCTTCCTTTGGTTGTCCAGTTAATATAGGGACTAATAAGAAATTTCCAACATGCTCCATGTCCAAAAACCAACTTTGTGTTTTCTAAAATTGAGGAATGAAATGTAGGAACAGCAAAGGTTAAGAGTAGGATAATTTATTTTATTATTATTTTTAATTTTATTGAGAATTAAATATAAATGAGACAGTTTCAAAGCTGATTAATAGGACAGTTTTGATAATCAATACATTGTACATTGTTATCTTCTTAGTGGTTATCCATAGTACAAGAAGCAGAAGGATATCCTGTCCAAACACTATTAGTACACCTCTTTCTTCTCATTGAATTAAGCGAAGTGGCTGTATATCTATCTTATTTTGTATATATAAATACAAAATGATCTTTCCTTTGTTCCCCCCCCTTTTTTTTTTAGTCCTGTCAGAGGTGAAAATTCTATTGGAATCTAAATACTATAGGTGTTTGAATTCAGCTAAACAATCCAAAGAGTAGGACAGTTTATTGAGAGAAAGTTGTCTGACAGAAAGGGAGCCAAAAAAGTGGTTTGCCTGCCAAGCACATTTCTCAGGGTGTTTACTGAGCAAAGCCAGGAGGTGTGGTGGGCTTAAGGTAGGACAGAACTATACTCAATGAAATTATAAGTATAGTGGTTTGGGTAATATTGATTAAATGGGTTCAAATTGGAAAGGTCAGGTAGCAAGAGCACAAGGGACAGGTCAAAGACTTTTTTGGATGGAGTGGGGTGAGGGCCTTGGTCCTCCACCCCAAGGCGACTGATGCCTTCTTACAATGTCAGCCGCTGCTGGTCATCCCCAGGGGAAGGGTCTGGGGAACCGTTCTTCTGTCTAGAAGCTTGGCCTTCAGTGAGTGTGCCTCCAGCCACAGCAGTGTTCTGCACTGACCTCTGGCGGTCTTCTGTCTGCCTGCCTATAACTTTTCTACCTAACTTAGCTATCTAGAACAGCACAATCTATTTCAAACGAGGCCAGCTTGGTTTCCAGGTTTTCTTCTACTGGTCTGATGTTTTATAAATTCAGACTTTGCTTTTCTTTTCTGATTTTTTTTTTTAACCAAACCTCGAGGAGTTTCACAGAAAACTTCAAATGAGATGGTGTATTCTTTTTAAATGCAGATTTTTGAAACATTGTCTTTTTTTTTTTTTTTTTTTGGCAGAATCGGGATTTGAACTCATGCCCTTACACTTGCCAGGCAAGCACTTATTCTACTGAGCTATCTCCCTGGCCCGAAACATTGTTTTTCAAGTGGTCCTTTTTATGTGTTGGTTGCTGAGTATAAAAGTTCTTATCTGGACAATTCTGCCTCTGCTCCAAAGAATTCTGGGGCGAATGGCAGTCCTGTACCAGCCTTGTAGGACACATGCTGTACATAAGCCTCACCTCGGCCATCTCCTACTGTTACTAGTGCAACTTTTGGTTTTGGTTGTCACTTGTTTCTGAGACAGGGTCTTGCTAAGCAGTGCAGGCTGGCCTTGAAGTATGCAGCCAGGCCTTGACTTCACAGTGATCTTCCTCCCTGAGCCTCCCAAACTGGGATTATAGGAATGTGCCAGCACCCCTGGCTTCTGCTTTGTTTTTACTTAAGAAAAATACATGTGGTTTATGTGAAGAAGCTTCTTCCCTAGGAGTGAAAGAACAACAGCTAAATGTATCCTTATTTACAAGGTAAGTTATCTGTGGCTTTGCCAAGCAAAGGAAGGGTGAGAGACAGCCCCACCTCCACCCCAGGGCCCTGCACCCCTCCAGTCTGAGATGGGCAAGGAGCTGCCATGACTCCTGTGAAGGTTCAGCCAGCTTGGTGGCCTGGAGAGGCCCTGCTGGGGCCCTGCACCCGGGCCTTCTTGCCCCAGGGCTCAAGGGTACTGGCCATGAAAAGGCCTAGGCCTGTGGCTGTGTGTAAACACAACTCCTGTTGTGAGATGAACCCCCTTGGAGCCAAATCTCCTCTCTTACCCTCAGCTTGGTAGCCAGGAGTCCTGCCCAGCACTTGTAGAGATGTACAGTGAGATACGAGCTGGTGATCACATGAGAGTCAAAGATTGCCTACATTAAGAAACTAAAACACCCTGGTTACCACAAAAAAAGAAAGAAAGAAATTGGTGGCTTAAAATGGCAAACATCAATCACCTCATAGTTCCTCTAGTCAGGAGTGTGGGCAGTTTACCTGGGCCTTTTAGTGCAGTGCCCCTCACAGTCCACGAGGGACTGTCATCACCTCAAGACTCCCTTCCGGGCTCATGTGAGAGATCCTTGGCAGCATCCAGTTCCTCCTCACTGCTGGAATAAGAGCCTCAGTTTCTTTCTGGCTACTGGCCTGGGCCTCCATGTTTGCTTCTCCATAATTTACCTCTCAGAACGGCAGCTCCCAGCTTCTCAAGTGAATCAGTGAAAGAGCACACAGGGCAGGTAAGGTGCAAGCCTGAAGCACGTAATCTTGGAAGTGAATTACCATTATGTTCCGATGATTCACATAATAGGTCATTTCTGGTCCACTACTTAACTTACAAATAAAGTTCACTGCAACACAGTGATGCAGTTTATAGGCATCACGCATGACTGCTTTTACACTGCTACGACAAAACTGAAGAAAAATCATATGGCTCACAAAGCCAAGTTCAGTGTATTTATTTTCTTAACCCTTACAGAAATGTTTGCTAATCCCTCACTGCGTAAGAAGCAAGTCCAGCCTGCGCTTAAGGGGAGAAGAGTTAAAAGCATGAATCCGTGGAAGCTGAGGTCATTGGGCGCCATTTTGGAAGCTGACTACACATGTGGGTCGCAAAGCAGGCATTCACCGTGTGTGCTGGACGAGTAAATAACTGTTCATACTGCTATAGTTTCAAGAGTCCTCTTCCTTTAAAATTCAGGTCCCGAAATGTTCAGGCCAAGGTAACAAAGAGGGTAGGCTCTGAGGTAAATGAGAATGCCTCCCTCTGTGGCTAAAGCAGGCTCTTAAGATGAGACGTCACAGTCGGCTCACTTGCTCTCCTGTTTCCACACGTGAGGACAGAGCATTTCTCTCCTCCAGGGGATGCAGCAACAAGTGCCATACTCAAGGCACACCGCTGCCCTCACCAGGCAACCAAGCTCTCGCACACCTCAATCATGGAGCTCCCAGCTTCCAGAAGAGTGAGAAAGCCCACCGTGCCACGCCACCCTGCACTGGTGTCAGCCGAGTATGGGCTGAAACCTTTACAAACTGTGAGCTAAATAAACCTTTTCCTCTCTAACTCTGTGTGTCAGGTATTTTGTCTCAGCAATGAGAGAAAAGTAAGATATCCAGGGAAGAAGTGGAGGGGGCAAAGGTCGAGTTGACCATCAGAGGTAAAAGATGTAATCCACTGTGTCTCCATAATGAATCTTCTATAAAAAACCAAAAGATCAGGATTCTGAGGGCTTCCAATACATGGAGGTGCCTGGGGAGGGCTCCATGCCCCTCTCCCCATTACCTTTCCCTGGGCATCTCCCGCATGCAGCTCTTTACCTGTATCCTTGGTCACATGCTTTGTACTAAATGGGCAAATGTACATTCCTCCAGCCTTCTATAAACCATTCCAGTGAACAAGTCAAATCAGAAAGGTCAGTCATAGCTGGTCAGTTATGGTACAGCTGGTCGGTCAGAACCAAGGGTTCCAACCTTGCCCCTGAAGTTGGCATTTGAAAGCCCCAAGTGTTCAAGGATTGGTTCCCAGCTCAGAGCTATTGGCGACAGAATCTTTATGAAGTATGGACAGGTGGGAGTCCTTTAGGTTTCACAGTTTTTGTGAGGTCTGAGCCCCCTCTTCTGCCTTACCCTGTTCTTGCTTCCTGGATGACCTTTGCTTCACCTTGTGCTGTGGCCATGATGGTCATCTTACCACAGACCCAAAGCAACACAGCTTGCCAGTCACAGACTAGACCAACTATGGGCCAAGAGAAAGCTTTCCCATTATGACTTAATACTACAAGCCTCTGTTATAATGTCAGAGGGCTCACTAACACAATACCCAGCTGTGGGCACATCCTCTTGGATCAAGCCCTCACCCTGCATGACCTGACACTAACTCCGGGTGTCAGTACTGAGTCAAATGGTAAGAACCCAGTTGGGGACCCCTGGAGAACCAGTGGTTGGTGGGGAGAACTCAGACATTTTGGCGACCAGAGATACAGCATTGTGGGAGTAAGTGAGCAAGTGTTGACAGAGAAAAACTTTAAAAATAATAACAAAATAACCAGACCATTTAATCTCTGGTTCTGAAAAAAAAAAGGGCCGGGGAGATGACTCAGTAGAATAAGCGCTTCCCTGGCAAGCGCAAGGGACTGAGTTCAATCCCCGGTTCCACAAAAACATAAATAAATAAATAAATAAATAAATACCAGACCAATTAAAGGATCAGATGGCAGCCAGTGCATGCAGAGCGCTACACAGCTGCTGGGATAAGTCAGAAAAACCCTGCTGTTAGCAAACTAGATTTCCACAGGTGATTTGTCAGGAGAAATGTGAATCAGGATGGTGTTGCTCCGCTACTGTAGACAAAATAACTGAGAAAATTAAAAACAGGGCCAGGGATGTAGTTCAACGGTATAAGCACCTGCCTGGCAAGGACAAGGTCCTGAGTTCAATTCCCAATGCCCCCCACCAAAAAAAAAAAAAGAAAAAAAAGCCCTTTCCCTGGCAGAGAAGCGCCTGCACTGGAGAATTTCAGCAATTCCAATGCACATTACTCAATGGTCCATTTATTATCTAAAATTTAATGCCTTACACATGTCTCCCAAGAGGTGGTTTGGTTCTAAAAATTGCAGAACTAGCAGACACATGTAATTAGTGACAAAACAGACGGACAACTCCAGTTACGCGGCCTACATTCAAGGCTATAGAAACAGCCTGTTCTGCACACAGGCTGCTGAGCAGTTTATGAGGTAACGAGGAACTGCAGCATAGGTCATGGCACGTTCGGAGAAAACTCGGGCGCTGACAACGCTGATGGCACCGATGGTGACAGGCAACACCTAGTGGGGCTGTTGTTTTCACATGCTACCTGTGCTTGCAGATTTACAAGTTTAATGCTACAAAAGGAAGGCCTTAACAAACAGGACTGTTGAAATTCAGGTCTTGAACTCACTTTGTAGCCCAACCTAGGCTCAAACTCGCGACAGTCTTCCTCCTGCCGCAGCCTCCTCAATGCTGTAACGCAGGCTTTAGCCAGTATGCCCATCTGGCAATGTTTCATACTAAGCCATCAGGGTTTTGTTTTGTTTTATAGGAGAGGGTCTTGAAATGCAATTCAGGCTGGCTTTGAGCTCACTTTGTAGCCCAAACTGGCCTGGAATTCACGGGGATCCTCTTGCCTGGGACTCCCGAGTGCTGGGATTCCAGGTGTGCATCATCACACCTGGCTCCCCATCTGTATCTTTTAAAAGATTCTTGGCAACATTAATTTCATTTGTCCTATTCTTCAAATCCTAGCATATAAACCCTCAGAGCTGTGGTTATAACCACGAACTGTATTCACTGTAGATACCTTGTATTTCTCCCTGTCCCAGAAGGTGATGATGGGACAGGAGGAAGAGGAGGTCTGTTTGGGGTCCTGTTTGGAGGGAGGGGAGGTCTGTTTGCTAGACACCTGCCTTCCCTTCCTTCCCTCCAGGGCATTCTATGGAGGACAGACTTGCACCTCCCCAACCCTGGGGCCTTGGAGCCCAGGGCTTTACCTCCGGGAGCGGGAGCGACACGGCCTGCTCGGGCTCCGTCTCCTCTTCGACCTGCTGCCGCCTGCGTAGAAAGGAAGAAAGTCAAGAGCCTGCGGCCCAGCCCTAAGTGCAGCGCTGCCAGTAAGCACTGCTTGGCCCTGCATCTCCATGGCAACTATAACTCTCCAGTTCCCACCCTGTCCCCTAGGGCCACCACCCGGCCCAGCACTGCCCTCCTCCCTCCTGGGTTGCCCGCCTCCTGCAGTATCCCAGTCCTGCCTAGCCCTCCTCTGCCAGTGCCAGCTCCACCTCCACCTGCTTTCATCAAAGCCACACCAGCTTGAAGGCCTCGAGGTGGGGAAGTAGTTCTTTATCATGGAAATCTTCAGAAAATCTTAATATGATTGCTAGTTTTAACAAACTAAGGGAGGCATGAAAACAAAAAATACCCTTCTTAAGTACATTCAGTTTGTACAACCTGGAGAATTCCTTAAGCTTTCGAACTCCTTCACCTTTTTCAACAGTTCTCACCCTGGAAAGATGGTCACCATACATTATGTAGGAAAGACACGTTAGAAAGCCAATAGTAAGAGTTTAAAAAAATAAACATGTTATAAAAGTTTGGATGCACATGAGTACACAAACAGGTTAAATGATCTGCTCTGGCTTTTAAAAATCCTCTAATTAAAATTTTTCTATAGTAAAAATATAACACCTATCTAAAACAGAATTATTATAATACAGTTTTACTCTTATCCAGGGCCCTCGCTTTTTCCATGTTGCCTCTAGCATGTTTAAAGGGCGCCCAAGGACAGAGATTCAAGAAGCTACAATTCTGTGACCTGGAGCTCACACCGGGTCATTGACAAAAAATGGGGATGAAGTGATTAAAAATGCGAGTCTGGCCTGAAGCTGCAGACTGCCCAGGAGGAAGGCTGAGGCAGGCTGCGGGAGGGGGGCGGGCGCACCTGGGTTCCAGGCCAGCCTGGACAGTGTCAGAGAACAGGACAAAAAATTTCCACAACAAAGAAACAGAAAGGTCAGTCTGCAGCTCACGTGTTCTAACAGGTGGAATCTAAAACAATGACATGTAGAAGGGGGACTGCTAACAGGTGGGGGAAGATGGGGTGGGAGGCAACGGATGCAGAGAGCAAACTGTCCCTGAAATACGAAGAGGGAGGCCACGGCAGGGCAGGGCAGGGCATAATGGGGGGTCAAGTGATCAGAGTGTTACGTATGTGTGCCAACTGTCCAAGTGGAACCCATTAATTTGTATAACCAATCAAAGGAGTGGGGGAAAAAATGAGAACATCTGCTCATTTGGTCAAACCGAGATAGTTTAATGTCCGACATACACCAAAGCTCGCTGGCTGCGGTGGTGCACGCCTGTACTGGGGCGGGGAACAAGAGCAAGGGAACGCTGCTGCTAAGTGGCCGCGATCCACAAAGGCTGTGAAGAGCCCAGGGCCTCCCCGCCCGGCCGCCTACTTGTCAGGTCTGGCACTACGAACTTCTGTTTCTTCTCCCAGCTCAAAAGGACACAAAAGCTAAGGTTTGAAATCAATTTGGAACACTGGGTGGCCATGACAGCACAACTGAAGACATTCTGCAGAGGCCTTGCGGAACCCCCTCTGCAGGCAGCATGAGTGGCGCGGTACAGAGCTAGGAGTAGAGTCTGCGGGGGACCAATGGCAATGTGTCTCTACGTGCAAAAAATGATTTACAAACGTAAACATTCAGTGTGTTTTTCAATCACACTTCGTGCTCTTAGTAGACTTAACATGTGAGAAAGGTAGGCTTTGCAGGAAGGTTCCAGAAACAATCTACACACAGTGCACTTTTCAGAAATGAAGACAACACAGTCAACTTAAATCAATCACTTTATTAAAAATAGCAAATCTCACAAATACTCATTCAACATTTTGTTGTCACTGGCCACTGGACACACAGCTGCATGTGTGCTGATTGTCTAAGGTAATGGAAGCTGGGCTGCCACACGAGGCCTGTGCCACCTACTGAGGCACTGGGCAAGCGGGCACTCAGGGCAGACGCAGCCTACAGCTGTGAGCACTTTGAGCACAATGCATTTCAAGTATAACCCGTAAGGCAACAGAAGGAAGCGCGGGCACTTGCAAGGCGTCTGAGAGCCTTCCACAAGGCCTGGACCTGCACCGGACCTGTACCGGGGGCATGAGTGAGAGCAAGCGGACTTACTGAAAGCAGGGTGTGAAAAGGATCACTGCACTGGCATTTTAATTACTGTCAACCTGTGATGCAAGATGGGTCTGCTACTGGATTCAGCTGGAAAAGTACAGCAAGCAGCTTGGTTGCAAACCCCAGGAAAGGAGACGGCACTGCAGCTTAGCTGGTCGATGTGTTTGGAACATCCTGTGCGTCTGCCAAGTGCAGCTTTTGTCTGAAGTCATCAGTTAAGGATTCCGTGTATAATGTGTATTTCTTTTAAAAGTTTGGGAAATTACACTCAGGAACTAAAAGGCAGAGGTGTTTGGAAAAGGAATAAAAGAAAGGAACTTGGCTTATAGTAAAATTCCTGAGACACTTGGATGCCGTAACACAATTTTTATACATTTTTGGGGGTGGGGTGGGAAACAGGGTCTTGCTGCATAGCCCAGGCTGGCCTCAAACTCATGGTGATACTCCTGCCTTAGTCTCCTAAGCGCTGGGATTACAGGCATGCACCACCATGCCCTGCACAATTTTTATCACCTGATTTTTTTTTTTTTTTCCCGGAACCGGGGATTGAACTCAGGCTCTTGTGCTTGCCAGGGAAGCGCTTATTCCACTGAGCCATCTCCCTGGCACAATTTTTAAATATAAGGAATTATACTATGTCTCAAATTAGAAGATTTTTAAAAATCACTGATATAAGACTGTTCCAGCCCCACACTGTGGCTCCAGAGGCAGCTGGGGCAGTGTGGAGGCTGAGGCAGGAAGGACCCAAGGAAGCTCAGCATGGGCATCTCCGCAACTCAGCAAGAACCTGTTTCAAAAATAAGTAATGAAAACAACAACATCACAAAAGGGCTGAGGATGCAGCTTAGTGCAAAGGCCCTGAATTCGATCCTCACTAATGTGCACATATGACACACACACACACACACACACACACACGCTGGAAATGGGATGGACACCTGCACTTCTCTTGTTTTTGCATTACCACCTTTCATCTTCCCCGTTAACATACACTGATCCAGTCACTGCCTTTCTTTCAACACCCAGCTCAAACCAAGGGAGGATACACTGAGAGCAGCTACACGCGAGCAACACACACACGGTAGAGGCTGCAAATCGTGCACGTACGAGCACAGCTGTCAAAGGCATTATCGTTTAAAGGATGAAAGCAACACACGTAAAAATTCACGAAGCAAGGCACACCACTAGTTCTGTGGCTTTGATTGTGAACGTGTTAAAGCTCCACTTGGACACCAGCCTATGGCACTACTGCCAAGTGGTGGAAACTTCAGGGCACAGAGCTGGCGTCTGAACTACTCAGAAGCTGAGGAGGACTGCTTGAGCCCAGGAGCTCTGCACCAGCAAAAGCAACACAGTGAGACTCTGTCTTAACAACAACAAAGAGGCGGGTATTAGTGACAGGAAGTAGGTCACTAAGGGCAGGTCTCTGAAGGAGCACTGACACCTATCCCTTTCCTGTTTCTCTCTGACTTCTGGCCACCAGGAGGTGAGCCCTGTGACACACGGTGCCACCTGAGGCCTAGATCAACAGGGCCAATCTAACCTGAGCTAAAGCCTCTGAAACTACGAGCCAAAAGAAACCTTTCTTCCTATTTGATTTCTCTCAGGTATTTTGTTACAGTAACAAGAAGCTAACTAACTGCTGGCTTAAAGACAAGCTAAGCACTCCATGGAAGCGGGGAGCTCGGCTTGATGCAATTTGATAAGGAGAAAGGGGAACTGAGCGGGACTCTAGGCAGCAAGCAGAGGTATAAAGATGAGAATAAACACCAAGGGTTTGTGCAGAGCCGACACAGGCGCTTGCGCTGGGCCTGGCGGTGCACGTCCCTCATCTCAGCACCTGGGAGGCCGAGGCCAGAGGACCTGCCTTGGCTACACAGTGAGAGAAAACCACACGAAACATGAGCTTACTGGCAATGAAAGCAACAGGATGTACAGGGTGTGACCAAATTACTGAAAGCCTTTAAAAGGTCCAACATGCTTTAAAGATTGGCATGAAATAAAATGGCAAGAAAGTGGTATTTCAGGAACATTAATTTAGTAACACTAACGTCTGAAGCAGCACTGTCCAACAGAAATGGAATGCAAATCACCAAATAATTTTTAAATTAAAGATGGTCATATTAAAAGGAAACACCAACTCTAATAATACCTTTATAAACTGTTTACCCAGATATGAATTTTTTATTTATTTATTTATTTTTTTTGTGGAACCAGGGATTGAACTCAGGCCTTTATGCTTTCCAGGGAGGCGCTTATTCTACTGAGCCATCTCCCCAGCCCCCAGATATAAATTTTTAAAAACAATTTCAACATGTAGTCATTATAAAACTTTATTTTTCACATGAAATCCTTGAAATCAGCTGTGCTTATTATGCTTTCCCACACTTTTGTTCAGTTAGTCACATTCCGTGTGCTCAGTAGCCACAGGGACCTACCATACTGAACCTCAGAGCCCTACATTGGAACAGGGAATGGAGCAGTTACACCATCAGGTGACATGGGCCTGGGTTACCACACAGAGGATGAAGGAAGAATAAAAGCAGAACTGATACCACCTGACAGCTGCAGTTAAGCAGTACTAAGTAGATTTCACAGCTGTGTCCAAGCCTAATAGCAGAAAGCAGCACAGCTGATTAGCAATGGCTGCTGTGGTAGTGGAGTGATTTTAAAATATTCCTGGAGAATGAAATAACAGAGGTAGTGATGACAAAGAGGGGAATGAGGAGGAGAGAGAGACTGAATACCTACAGAACATTTACCACAGAACAAACAAGGCTGCCAGGCTGGGCTCAAACACACACAGCTTCTTGCTCAGATTCTAAACCAAGTATACAAAAGCTTACACTCTGCACCATCCCACGCATCCCTGTGTGTGGCAGATAAATTTCACCACCAGTTAAAATAAGGAAAGTGGTGAAGTAAGTCTAAATGTTCATCAAAAACTCATGTGAGGGCTGGAGAGATGGCTCAGTGGTCTAAAGCACCTACTTGGAACAAGCTTGGCAAAGCACAGGGACCACGGTTCGATCCCCCAGCACCGCATGCCAGCCAGCTGCGCCCCCTGGTGGGCTGAGCTGCCCCCCCCCCACACAATAAATAAATTTTAAAAAACAAAACAAAACAAAAAAAAAAACAAACAAACAAAAAAAACTCATGTGAGAGGACAGTAGATGCTGAAGTGCCCTAAACATGCCATGACTATGAATTCCAGAAGGAATACAATGAAGAGAGTAAAGAACCAAGAATTACTTCCAGGAAAGTTCCTAGTCAACTCAAAATCTCAAAATGCCCCCTCCTTAGTTTTTCTTGCAGGATACCTTAATCTCTCTCCACAGTTAATGTAGCTTCCCAAAATCTATGTTCCTCAACTATAAAATGGGGAGTACAATTACCCACTTCCAGATAGGACCAAATGAGGCAATATGTATACAGCCCTTTCATATACTTGGTGAATAGTGAGTGTTATGGTTTGAATCTAGAGGTCCCCCCAAGCTTCATATGGTCCTTCCTGGGGGAGTTTCGAAGGTGGCTAGATTAGGGTACGTGAATGTGGATAAAGGATGCAACACTGGGATTAAGAGTACCGATGAGGGACGCGTCACCCTGGGATGGGCGGTGCTAATCGATATGACCATAGCCTGGATGGAACATAAGGGAAAAGAAGGCAGGCTCACTGCCTGGCACTTCAGTCTCCTGCCTGCTCTGCATGGGCTGTTTCTCCTCGTGATGCACCCCCTGCCACACCACCCTGCCCTGGATGGAGCCAGCCAACAGTGGACTGAAACCTCTACAGACTATGAGTTGAAATGAACCTTTCTTTAACTTCGTTTTTTTATTCTTTTATGTATTTAGCACAGGGTCTACAGGGTCTCACTACACAAATCGGACTCCTAGTGACCCTTCCTGTTTTTCAGCCTCCCAAGCTCTGTCGTTACAGGCGCCACCATGCCCAGTCTCAATCGCCCTCTCAGCAAATCCCGGGGGTGGGGGTGGGGCCGGCCCTGCAGTGCTCCCTTAACTTTGGATCCTAGGTCTACTGTCTCAGCAACCAGAAAAGCAAGACACTGCATATTCATAAAAGCTAGCTGCTAATTACTATTAGCAGAACTGTAAATACATCCCAACTTCTTTCTTCCTTGGGCCTTTAAGACAGGGCCTCAAGATGCTGCTCCAGTTGATCTTAAATTTACGATCCTGCCTCAGTCTCCCAAGTGCTGGAAGACTTACAGCTGTGCACCACCATACCTGGCTACCTGTTTATTTTTGATTGTTATTATAACACAATTGAGCAATTAATATCAGTATATAATTAACAGCAATAATAGCAAGTTAAACTACATATTGCATATAATTTTAAAAATTTCACATACGCATGATTACATGTGGCAGTTATCCTGTATCACAGACATTCTGAGCTGTTAAACAATTTACCTGTTACATTGTCAAAATGTGTAACCAAATTTCAAAAATCAAATTTCTACTCTATAGCCAGTATCCTTCCTATTTTACTATCTTGTTTAAAGGAAATATTTTAACTCTCAAATTAATTAATATATTATAGCCAGGATAATTTCCTACTGCTCTTATGTACCTTACAACTGTAGCTACCATTAAGTTTAAGAGCACATTTGGAAAAGTTCCTGAAATACTTGTTCTAGATTGAAATATCAAAACCAGAATATTCTATATGTGCCTTGTTTTCCTTTATGCTAAGTCTATTATAAATATGTGTAATTTTGGAAATGTTATTTCATAAGCTATGGAAGCATTCCTTGTAGGGTGTATTTTATTTATTTTTCTTTTTTGTGCTAGTGGGGATTGAACTCAGAGCCTTGTGCATGCTGCGAAGGTACTCTACCACTGAGCTACAGCCCCAGGCCTATAGGCCGTATTTCAGTGATACCTAATTTTCAATTTTATACACCTGAAATGTTTCAATTAATAATATTTAATTAAATATATTATCTCTGCATACTGAAATGCTAGTTAGCTTCAAAATCTAAGATTTAAAATAATTTCTATAATAACTATCCAAAATTTTAACTCTCATGACTTAAATAATAAAAAATAAATTTTGTTTTAAAAATTTTTGCAAATACATGGGCTGGGGAGATAGCTCAGTGGTTTAAGCACCTGCCTGGCAAGCTTAAGGACCACAACATTCCCCGGTACCAAATGTTGTGCCGGCCCCACACTGAGCTGGCCACCAAAACCAGGCATAGCGATGCACACACCTGTAACCCCAGAGCTGGGGAGGCTAAGACGAGGATCACTAAAGAGTCCAAGCTGTGTAGTGAGACCCTGTACCTAATAAATAAATGAAAGATGAAAAATGAATAAATAAATAGATAATACTAAGTAAAGGACAGCCACAGAAAGAAACATAATTTGAGCATACAAAGGAATGAGAAAATTCCACTTGAAATCAAAGGGAAATAGAGGTGACTCCAGGAGATAATGTGACATATCTGCTCAATGAATCTAAATGAACATCTTTCCAAAACATGGCGGGGATCATAAATTATAACCTTTTCACTATTATAATAGGCAAAGGATACATAGAAGAGTTCAATTCTTCTAGCTGCAATACAAAAAAACCCAAATTTAAATTAGATATACACAACAAATTTACGTGTTTATATTTTAGTAAAAATACCAATGTATTTTAATAAGATATATAGATGCAGGTCACTGTAAATTATACATTGTTAACTATATATTTCAAAACAGAATTTCATTTAAGCCTTCTTTAAATGAAAGAAAACTTTTTTTTTTTTTGAGACACTGTCTGGTTCTATAGTTCAGGTCAGCCTTGAACTCACAGTATAGCCCAGGCCGGCCTTGAACTCAAGTTAAGGTCCCTAAGTGCTGGGATTACAGGTGTATGGCATCATACCCAGTGAAAGAAAAACTTTTTTTTTTTTTTTGGCTATCTCAGCCCATCCTGAGGGCAAGGCTAGCATAGCATGTAGTGCCGGGATTGAACCACAGTCCCCTGCGCCTGCCTAAGCTTGCCTAAGCAGGTGCTTTAGACCGCTGAGCGATCTCCCCTGCCAGAAAAAACATCTTGAGAAAAAAATTTTCAAAACTTCCAGGCTGGAAAATTACTTTTGTAAAATAATCATAAAGGAATGTTAGCATTTATAAAACAAGAATATGAAAAAGTTAAAAAGATGATAAGAACTGGAGTTTTGTAAATATCCCCTAAAACCATGAATAATTACAACAATCTCTAATAATAGCTTTAGAGAAAAAAAAAATCTTTCATTTTAAGGCTCATGATCTTTGAAAGCTTTATGAATTACAAAAATACTTCCCCTGTCAGTTCAGTTTTCAGTACAAAGTAGTATGGATCATCTCTTGCTATAGCCTGTTTGGACTGCTACAAGAAAACACCAACTGGGGGAACTACCCGCTTGGGCCCCACTCCTGTCCCTCTCTTGGACAGGAGCTTTCTTTCTCTCAAAAAATATATTCTGCTCAAAAGAAAAGAAAAGAAAAGAAAAGAGAAGAGAAGAGAAGAGAAGAGAAGAGAAGAGAAGAGAAGAGAAGAGAAGAGAAGAAAAAACACCAACTACTGTAGCAGCTTAAGTAACAGAAATTCACTTCTCAGAGTTCTGGAACCAGGAGTTCACATTAAGATGGCAGAGCAGAGGTCTGCAGAGGGCCCCTTCCTGGTTCACAGAAGGGCACCTTCTCGGTGTCCTCACAGGGTGAAGACAGGTGGCGCCCCCTTCAGGTGGAGGGAGCAGGACCCGGCTCCGCCCAAAGCCCCAGTTCCTGCTAACCTTCACCACGAGGACTTCAACAGAAGATGTCTGGGAGGACACAAACATGCGGATCACAGCACCCTCAATTTACAGAAGAAAAGCACTGCATTACAAAAATGTTAACCAGCCCAACAATTTAGCGGGATAGTGTCTCAAAATGAAAAAATTTTAAAAAAGGTCTGAAGGTGTACCTTAGGGCAAAAGCTCTGCGCTCAATTTTCAGTACTGAAAAATAGAGTGCTTAATTGTTCAGTGTTGCACAGTATGCACAACCCAGAACCCAAGGGCAAGCTCTGGACTTGACATAGAAAGGCTATTTTTAAATTTAATGTTCTTGCAAGCATACCACAGTCTCCTAAGTGAACAGGAGATGAGGTTTACGTTTGTTAAGGGGAATAAAACAGTGTAAAAAGAAATAATTGCAAAACTAGGGAAGATTTAAAATGAAGTGTATAGGCTTGAAATGCTAAAAGTACACAAATACAACTTTTCTCATATTTATTTTTTGACAATGATTGGTTTTTTTGTTTTGTTTTGGCGGAACCGGGGATTGAACTCATATCCTTGCGTTTGCCAGTCAAGCGCTTATCCTACTGAGCCATCTCCCCAGCAATATATTTATTTTTTGAAGGTTAAAAAAAACCCAAAAACTGAAACTGATCCTTTCTGTCAGTCAGTGGTAAATACGGGATTTCAAATGAAGTGTGTTGGATTTAATTTTTATTTACTTTTGTTTGAAAAAGATTGAAAGAGACAAATTTAAGAACACCCCTGAGGGTAGCAGCTACACAACGATGCTGCGGGCTGGAGTGTGCATGTGTCCCCGAAGGCCCAGGCCTCAGGCCTCACCCAGAGCAGCCCAGGCGGCTGAGTCCAAATGAGGTCAGGAGGGTGGGCCCTGACCCAGTGTGACTGCGGCCCTTCCAAGGAGGAGAAGTGACACGATGCCCATAAGGATGCCACCTACTGACCAAGGACAGAAGACCCAGCAGAAACCAGCACTGTCAATACCCTGACCGCTAACTTTCAGACTCTAGAATTGTGAGAAAAATTCCTGTCCTGAGCCAGCCAGCCGGGGTTACCTGGGCATGGCCGAGGTAGCCAACTAAGACAGACACAGTGGCACGGTGCCCAACACCAGCAATGCAGGGCGCCGTTCTGTGTTTACAGGTCAGTAACCTCAACTCGAGTACAACACAAAGTGTATTAGCCATGCCAGGGAGAACAGTCTTTGATGGCTAGCTGTATCTTCAGATCTATACATAATATCTATATATAATCTCTAATACCCACACATATATAATACATAATAAAGCAAATACTTCCTTTTAGATTTTCCAGTATCCTGAAAGTATGTGTTTAGAAGGATTTTTTGGTTTTTTGGCTGGCTCATGCCACCTTAGGGGCGGGTCTGGTAAGAAAGTATGTGTTTAGATGTAGGATAATTTCCTTGTATTTCATTGAAAAAGTGTCCAGCACAACATGGACGTACCCTGAAAACCCTACACTAAGTGGAAGCCTGCTTGAGGCTCACACTTGTGATTCCACTGCTGCTGTCCACGGCGACATGAGCCTGACAGGTAGAGTGCGCAGGGGTGGCCAGGGGGTGGTTCCAAGGACCAAGAAAATGTTCCACAATTGGAAACTGGTGACATGTGCAACACTATCGATATACTAAAAACCACTGAATTACAGACTTCAAAAGGGTTAAAAGGTGATTTTGTTACTTCATTAATAATGCAATAACAAATCTGAAGCGTAGAAAAAAGAAGCGTACTCACGTCAGACAGCAGCCTGTCCAGGTTGGAGTCGCTGGCTGTTTTCCTCTTGTCCTCAGGGAGCTCCTCTAACTCCCCATAGAGCTCCAGATTCAAGCGGGCTAACTTTTCCTGCATCCCCCGAACGTGTTCCATTTGCTCTATGGAACACTCATTTCCTGGGGAACATTCCAGAACTTTAATCAAGATTAATATTAAAGCTACTCGGTCCTGAAGAACAACTTTCAATCCCGAAGTCCTCCAGAAAAAATTAGTTATCTTTCTTTTGTAAACTGCCTGTTAATGATAGTATAGCTTTTTTCCAGATTTTTATTTTTGTTACAAGTGTGCAGTACATAATAGCGTATCCTGTATGCATAATTGCAAAACAAATTTTTGATCAGAAAAGAACGAGGAACCTAAGAAATGACTCTGGGTGCTTAAAAAAATTCACATAAGGGCCAGGGAGACGGCTCAGTAGAATAAACACTTTGCTGGCAAGCGCAAGGGCCTGAGTTCAATCCCCGGATCCGCCAATTAAAAAAAAAAAAAAAAAGATTCACCTAAGAAGACAAAATATGTTGTCTTCAATAGCAACTGAAGATACAGAATAGCACCATCTAATTATGTCCTATTTGAGAACTGTCATTTAAATTGAGTGACCTAACATTTTATAGTAATTTTTTCCCCATAATTTTATTGAGAAACAAATAGCAATGAGACAGTTTCCAACCAAATTGGTACGACAGTTTCCATTTTATACTAATCTGAGTGAAACGGTCCTGTAAGAACTTACGCCCTAAAGTGTTTTCCATCCAATTACGTATTCGTCCTTTAGGAAACAGAAACGCAAGTATGCATGAAGCATGAAGAACGTCAGCAAGAGCGATGTCTGTTCCGTTTCCAGCTGCACACACAGCAACGCGAGACAAATTAAGTGCTATAGGATAAGCAGTTATGATTGACAACAGTCCTCTGCAGTGACATTATTTGCCCTGAGCAACTAACTTAAATATATATGGCACACTATGTATTTTCATCCAGTTTAGGTTATGGCCTCCACAATATCTTGATGCCATATTTTCAAAAACAACTTGTTTATCCTGTAGGCACTACACAGATGTACTGTAGTTCAGCTAAAGTTAAAATAAAAATCTTTAATATGACTTAATACATATTATACTGGTTTCTTCTAATAAGCTTTAAAACATCTTCATAAATATACTACACTATGTTAAGGACTACTATTACTGAATTAGTTATGGTTCTTTCAAAATCAGCCTTTATTCAGAATAAAATGTATTATACTTCTTCTATTCTAACAATTACTAAAAATAACCTGGAGGATCAAATAGAAAAAAATACCTCAAGGTGTA